CACGATGATGATGATGATGACGATTACGATGATAAGATTATGATGACGACGATGATGATGACAAATACGATGATAAGATTATGATGACGATGATGATGACGATGATGACGATGATAAGATGATGAAGACGACGATAACGATGATGTTTAAAGCAATGAGAGTGTTTAAATTCAGGTGCCAGCATCTGATTAACATGCATGACGATGACGATGATGATGATGATGACCACATGATCGCTGTGATCAATTTCATCATTCTACTCATTAACATAGAGACTATTTCCATTTACGTGAATCATTATCATTTTTATCATGCCTCATTATCATCATTTTATTTTCACCTTATCATCATCATCATCATCATCATCATCATCATCATCATCATCATCATCATCATCATCATCATCATCATCGACATGATTGTCGTCATCGTCATTACAATCATTGTCGTCATCGTCATCATCGTCGTCGTCATCATCATTTCTCACATCATCACCACATCTTCTGCCACCACCATCACCAGGCTTACTCGTTGTACGACCAGGAAGTTGGCTACTGCCAGGGTATGGCTTTCGTCGTTGCTCTCATCCTCACTCAGGTTTACACCACGTCACACACACACCACACACACAAACCACACACACACCACACCACACATCACACCACACAACGCGTTTATTAAACTACAAACATTTTGTACAAAAAAATGCATTTTTAAATGTTGAGATAATGTTTTTAGGAGCATTATTAAGAGTTATTGTTTTGATTTTGGTAATTTATTCCTATGAAGTTCATCGGAATTGTTGTAGGCTTGTGAGTTTTTGTTAGTTATGAATATTTAAGGGCATGTTCATAATTTTACGTTCGTGCAGTAATAAAAAAATTATTTTATATTTAAGAAATCCTCAGAAGAAATTTTATTTAACCTCTGACCTCTGGTGATCATTTTATTTCAATCAAAATAGAAAAGTTAATGAAACCGAATGAAATCTTTATAATTCGCCAGATGCCAGAGGAGGAAGCGTTTGCAGTCTTCGTGCAGATGATGGGCAAGTACAAGTTGAGACGCATGTACATCCCTGGAATGAGTGGAGTGGATCTATCTCTCTTCCAATTGGAGAACATGATACAGGTGAGAGTTGGTTGGTGGAGAACGGTGAGACAGGTGAGAGTTGATTAAGATGGAGAGAAGGAATGAAGGTTGAAGAGAAGAAAATGAAAAAGAAATTTGAAAAGATAGTGAGAGAGTTAGAAAGAGAGAAAGAAAATCGTATGTTTGTGGTGTCTCGTTTCATTCATGAAAATAAGATAATTAATAATTATCGGATGAGTTTGACAATTGCACACACGATGGCTTACAGCGAAAAATTTTATTTAACATAATAAAATTAAAACTAATTGTAAAGTTGATGATGAAGAAAGATAAGTTTTATGAAGATAATAATGATAACAATGATATAAATGATGATTATCAAAGGTGAGAGTTCTTTTCTACAAAAAGTGACCGAATCGAATATTATTGAAATTTTTCCCTTGCCAGGATTTGAACCCGCGACTGCACAAGCACTTCCAGATGCACGGCATGTTTGCCTCCATGTACGCATCTTCCTGGTTCCTCAGCCTCTTTACCATCACATTCAGTCCATCATTGGCCAGCAGGGTTGTTGACCTCTTCCTCGTCGAGGTTATCACTTTATTCATTTATTTACAAATATGCATCCATCTATTTATCCACCCATTCATCCATCCAATCATTTATTCATCCATTCATTCATCCATTCATTCATCTATTCATTCATCTATTCATTCATCCATCCATTCATCCATTCATCTATCCATCTATAATCATTAATCTAGCAATCTATCAATTTATTAAAGAATCATTTAATTCATTTACTCAACCGTCTGTCCTTTCCTCTACTTATTCATTTATCTATCTATTCATTCATCCATCTATCCATCATCACTCCATCCATGCATCCGTCCGTCCGTCCATACATGCAGGGATTGGATGTGATCCTCGCATTGTGCTACTCCATGTTGGATGTTTGCAGTTACGAGCTGCTCACTAGAGATCTCGAGGGAATGATTGGAGTAAGTTGCTGTTTTGTTGTTGTTGTTGTGTTGTTGTTGTTGTAGCTATGTTGTTGTTGTTGTTGCTATGTTGTTGTTGTTATGTTGTTGTTCATGATGTTGTTGTTGTTGTGGCTATGTTGCTGTTGTGATGTTGTTATTGTTGATGTTATTGCTGTTGTTGTTATGTTGTTGTTGATGTTGCTGTTGTTGCTGCTGTTGTTGCTATGTTGTTGTTGCCATGTTGATGTTGTTGTTGTTGATAATGTTGTTGTTGTTGATAATGTTGTTGTTGTTGATAATGTTGTTGTTGTTGTGTTGCTGTTCTGATTTTGATGCTATGTTTTTTATGATGATTTTTTTAGTTGTATTTTGTGTTTTGTGATGTATTGT